CTCTCACAGCTATAGTGCACGGGGCCCACTTTAGATTTTTTAAAAAAATCTAAAGTGGGTCTCGTGCACTGTAGCTGTGAGAGGGGTGTGCCCCAAGGTGTGGTGGAAGGGTGTGCCTGTAGTACCACTCCAAAGATCCAGAGACGACCATCCAAGGTCTCAACAACTAGATCAGAGGAAAGCAAAACCTATGGGGTTATAGTCTTATGGAACTCCCCCAAAAAGAGATTTTGCGAGCTCTACCAAGTAGATCAGAGAAAATTGTTAAATATGATTACAACCTCACGATAACAGAGATGTGATTTCCCAAATAATAGAAGAACTATAAAGTGTTTATCTCCCCCTAGATCTCTGTAGCCAATATCCGTTGAGTAAAATACCAATTGTTATTGAAAACCGTATCGAGGAACCAAACCAATTGCCGATCAACGAGGGCCAAAACCAACCAAAATCAATGCACACACAAAACACCAATTTTAACGTGATTCGGCAATTGCCTACGTCCACGGAGCAAGAAGGGGATAAGGTTTTCACTAATAGAGGAGAAGAGTACAACTTTAGATTACAAATCACTCGAAGGAACAAATTAATCTCACCAACAAAGCTCTTAATCTCTCCAAATAAACCTTAATCAAATAGCTCAGAAAATACCTCTTTTCTGTGGTCCAAATATCCCAAACTCTTGCCTTAAGAAACCCTAGAACGTGTATTGGTATTTATACAAACATCAAAAAACAAATAAGAATAGGAAACCAAAACTGGGCCTTGACCCAATTGGCGGTCGATCGCCCCAATCGCGCGGTCGACGCGATCCAACGATAGAGACCATAGATCGCATACAGAGTCTGACGGTCGACCGTGGCAGTCAACCGCACTAAGTCCAGGCTCATGCCGCGGTCGACCGGCGTTGCACCGCGGTCGACCGGCATTGCACCGCGGTCGACCGCGCAACTCCCAAACAGAACCCTGAGCTCTTACAACACCTGTTATTCACCAAACTTCTCGCGGTTTCTTCAATTCTCCACCTCGGCGAAGTTTCTACCAAAACTAAGCCGACACGAACCAAGCCAAATGCCTCACTTGCTGCTTCTCAATCCTCAACAAGTCGAGACCCAAACGGGAGTGCGAACACTCACCCAAACGTCGGTATCTACTCACCAAATCGGCTGCATCATAAAGACTGCTTACGTATCCTCTTGCCGAAGGAATCAAGCCTTCACGTAGTTCATCCAAACGGTCTCCAAAGGCCCTCAATCAAATAAAAAAGTCTGCAACGCTTCCCTAATATCACCAATGGATCTGTAACTGATACAAATCAAACACCTCCATCTGAGGTGAACTAATGGCCGTATCCAAATCATGTCCACCAGCTACAACCGACTCCAAAACTAATCCATCATCTGCATCCGAAATCAAATGATCCTCAACATGTGCCACCTCAGCTGGAATCCCAAATGACGCAGTATGATCTGGAATATGTGAAATAAGTTCTACCCAACGTGAAGTAGCATCACCCTCTACCTGTTGTGATATCCAAATGACCTGATCAACACTCTCCACCTGCTGAGAGTCAAAAGTAACATTCCTACTCAGAACAAAATCAGAAGCTCCCAAACGATAATCAAATGAGCCTCATCCTCGATGTGACCAAATGCTGGGTAACCAAATATCCGACGCCAACCAAAATCTGAAACAGCTCCACCAGATCCAATAACTCCTAATGCAGCAGTTGGCGACCTATGACTAAGATGACCTGAATATGTCGAAACTCCAGAATCAAAACTAATGCTCGACAACCAACGCCGATCCTCCTCTAGAAAGGAACGACTCATCGAAACTGTCATCTCATCTCGTCGCCCAAAAGTCTCCACATCAATTAAGTGTTTCAAGTTATCATGAGCTCGGCACAAACGCAAGAAAGGACTCCTAGCAAAGCTAGAACAACGAGTTACCTTTCTGCCAATACACTTCTTCTAATTGTTGTTGACTTCTAGGACTTTATACCAACAAGAACTGGTCGTGACCCAATAATGCCTAGAACAATCACCAACTGCGAAAACTACAAAACGATTACCTTCCAATGATGCCTTCTTGGAAGGCCCCCAAATGCTTGACTGAACACCTCCTAAAAGACCCCTCGCTCGATGGATAGAAGTGTCAAACTCCACCACGGTCTTGCTCATCCCAATATGCTCAAAGGACTTCCATCTGCAAGTCAAAGCACTCATCAACAACCTGTGCACGGCATCACCAATCAAATACCCTAGCACCAAACTACGCCACAATCTAGCCAAATCCAATGAAGTCGTCAGAGCTCTATCAATCACCGTGCTCCCAAGCAAATATTATAAGTTACTCCTTTTAACGCCCTTCATCACAATCATGGACCCAAATGTAACCTTCAAACGTGCATCCGCCAAGGTCACCCTATAGCCTGCTGCCTCCAAAGCTTCAAGTGAAATGATGTTTGTTTGCGTTGAAAGTTAATTTTTTCATTGCGGTATTCATTACAACTTCAGTCGTTATAATGAAAACAAAAAAAGAGTCTTTTTATAAGACTCTTACACAATGAAAACAAAAATTACAACTCTTGTCAAAACAAACGCAGGTAGATCGTTTATCGCTCTTCTGCTTGTGCGGGATCTTTGCCTGCGCCGGGGATTTTGATATCCGTGAACCGTCTTAGATCTGGATCCGGTTGATGGAAAATTGGTCAGAACTTCGCCTTTATCAATGGAGTATTTGATTTGAAGCGCAGAGATCGACCAAGCGAAATCAACACTCTTCTCGAGATCAAGACCAAACCTGATCTCAAGGAAATGGGGAAGCAGGCTTCAGATCTCTCGAACTCTCCTTCTTTATGCTGAAGAACCCGCCAAGATCTATCAACCATTGCTGAAATTCGTGCTCCTTTGACTCCTCAATCCGGTAGCACCTCGCCCTCTTGATAATAACTCTGCCTCCGTGAATTGAGCCTTTAGGCTTGTATTTATAGGCTTCGGTTGGGGGGGTTTTCGGATAAGAATGAGTGATTCCTTCTTATCTTTAGTTAATAACTGATTAACCATGTTTAGAGATAGGATTTAGACAGTTAGGAACCCCTGGAACAGATAAATCCCGAGAAAACAGCTCAAAACCGTCAAAAACGCGTCCGAGGATCAAAACAGCACGACGGACGGATCCGTCCCGCGTTGGCGCGGGTCGGATACTATAGCGTGGGGGTCGGATTACTGTAGCGTGCGGGGGTCGAAGAATTGTAGCGCGGGTCGAAGAACTGTAGCGCGGGTTGGATTACTGTAGCAGGGGGGGGGGGTGGGGGGGGGGGC